CCCTACAAGGAAATCCAGACCAGGGCCAGAACATTCATCCTGCCATTTCATCTCTTCAGGAACAGAGACCTGTGTGCTGCAATAAAACAGCACCATCACCATGTAGTTAACTACAAAGGAACAGACCAGAACTTCAATTTGTACCTACTAACAGAGCAACACTGAAGTTTACAGAGCTATGTACAATGTAGAAAGCTCATCTACCACTGCTTCAGAAGCTCACCTTTGCATGCCGCAAGGGGGGCAGACCAGACCCCAGAAGAGGTACAGTATACAGATTCCAATGCAGTCAGTTCATAGCCTTCCTCACACTGAACTGTGCAGGATGAGTTGTAGCTGAAGTTCTCCAATGGATGGTTGCACTTGAGGCTCCCATGATCAGGTTTCTTTAGTGGATCACAACTCTCAACTTCAAAGAAGGACAAGAAGGTACACAGTCAGTTTCATTGGCTGCGCAGGTAAATCAACAAGCCAGACAAACTGAACACTAGCTAGCATGAACATCACCCTGGTTGAAAAGCAGGATGGGGTAATCTTACCAAATTCACATTCAGGCCCATAGAATCCAGGGTTACAACGGCAGGTGTGATTGTTAATAGTCTCTATGCATTCTCCTCGGCCACTGCAGAGAGATGGGTTGCAAGAAGCTGGGAAAAAAAAAAAAAAAGAAAAAATACAGCAAATTATAAAAGAATCAGCAATGGCCACTAATGAAACCTGGCTAGTGCTTTGTTTATCTTTCTGGCACTAGACAAGCACTTTGTATAGCAAAAGAAAAGCAGGCTGTTTGGTACCAAAGATTACCCTGTCATTTCATAGAAGCATTTTGGAAATTAACACCTTTGGCAGACTAGCTCACAGTGAGGGGATTCTACTGGTGGGAAAATCCCTGACTACTTGTTCTCAGGTAGATATTAGCAATATTTAAAATCCAAAAGGAAAAATATACTATGGGATAGGTAGAAATCCTCAACAGGTACATTCTTCATTAACTCACTACAGCTCCAACTTGGCTGATACTTGACTTGGATTTTTTTTTTTTTTTTTTGACCTAGCCTTAGCTACCTCTACACAAAGTGTCTAATCTAATCCAGTGGTCTACAGTCAGCAGACAGATGCTTCCAAAAAGGCCATTCTTATCTAGCTGAAACACCCACTTGAGAGTGGGATGAAAGACACCACCTAAGAGCCTGTTTCTCTCCACTGACTATAGAGAAGGTCTGGTGATTTGCTCATAAAAGATGTGTAATATTCTGGGAGCTAAAAGGTAAGCGAGATCAATCCAGCTCTTGGAACAAGAACAGCCTCAGTCCTGTAAGCAAGGATAAGTGTACAAGTACTTACAGGGTCAGGTAGTTAATATATAAGACTAGGTTAAGTAACTTATCCCACCCATCATCTCATCTCCACAGGGGCACACTAGAATGCCCTTTATCATACTATACCTGTGTAGCACAAGGCGACCTTCTTTTTCTCACACTGCTCATCATTCCATTTGCCATCGTCCTTTCCTCTTTTGATGTAGATTTCAACGCAGTCCTCGTTGTTCCCTTTGCCATTTGGCTCACCTGAAGCCCAGTTTTTTGCCTCTTCTGTCAGTTCTTTGTTAGTTCCAATCCAGGTCCATACCTCATTAATTTTTCTGATTCCAATCCAGTAGTAACCCGGATTGAAGGGTAAGAAGTTATTGAGATAGTTGATTTCCTCCTTATTCTGAATGGCAACCATGTTAGTATACCTCTTTTTGCACCACAGCTCTGCTTCCTTGTAGGTCATGTTTGTGTCTGAATAATGGTATGTCCAACAATTCACCCCCTGCAGTATTGTAAGTCCTAGAATGAAAAGATGTCAAAAAGTTGGTGTCTGAGTTTTTCCCTCCTCTCTCTCTAGAAGAGGATATATAAAGCTCTATAAATATTGCAAACTTGTCAATATCTGGAACTGCATAAAAATCAGTGGAAATTATTTTATGAATAATTAACTGGCAAGCTTCAAAACAGGCACATCAGCATCAAGTACAGGTATTTCAGCCTCTGAAACTATGTCCGATCACACAAAGCTTTGCAGATTTCATAGCAAACTACAGGAGCCAATTATGTATTTGACAGGCAAGCAGGGAAACATGCCATTGCAGCTAGAGATTTTTCTATGTGAACCTAGCCTCAAGCTAATTAGGTCAGGTTCAAAAATTCTGTTTAATTCTGAGCTCAAATAGAACAGGCACACTAATATTGCCATCCAACTAGTTTTTTACACAGAGACATACACACTTACCATAAGCAAGAAGAGATAGGAACCACAAGCAAGTCATGTTTCTGAGAGTTTTCTCTATCTTTTAAGCAGACAGCTATGAAAGATCAAAGGAACACATCTGTAAAGAACAAATACTGACTTTTCACAATTTAATATAAAATACTGTCTATGGAATCTTTTCTACATGCTTTTTAACAATTATTCTAAAGACTTAAATAAGATTTCCATTTTTAGGAAATTATTCATTTTAAAACAGTTCTTAATATCAAGATAGCTTTTAAATGTGAACAGCTCTTAAAGAACACCAACACAGAATTCCATCTGCCCAGTTTTTCTTTAGCTGAGCAATGAAACAGAATAAGACATTTCATTTATACTCACAGGTTGCAGTTGCAGCAGCCAGGTGGCAAAAGTCCTCTCCAATATTTCTCAGTGACTGCTTTCTGTTGCTAAGTTGCGGGATACAGACTTAAAGATTAAGTTCAGCTCCAAGTGTCTGGACTGTGTAATCCCCTGCCTTTACTACGGCCTTTTATTCTCTCAACTGGCCTGTCCTCCACGAGACGGGAAATTCCGTGTGGAAAAAAATTTATTGGAAAACCCCAGGATCTGGCCCTCCCACGCATTAAGCCTGATGTTTCCCCTTGCCAAATCAACCCTCTCGCAAAGCACACCGTTCTGACAAACTGCCAAGTGCTGCGTTACATAATTTTACTGACAGAAACACCCAATTCCAGGATATCAGGAAGGAGCAAGATGGTTAGTTTGAGTTAGTTGCATGAATAAGCAGATTCCAACTTTTCACCCAGCATAATGTTTTGCACCAAGGAGCTGCCAGTTCTTTTGGGATCTCAGTAAGAAAGGCACCAACAGTCAAAGCTGGTTAACTAAGTCTGAGTAAAAGATAGAAAACTGCAGCATTGCAGAAGTCCTTCCTTGGGGATCACAGCATGCTGTGCAGAGTTCTCATTTGTGGTAAGGTTTGCCAGCCCCAGGATGGCTAGTACTCTTTCTAGAGTCTTGCTCACAATACAGATTCATCAGTCACTCGTAGCAGTCAAACTTGGAATGTGGACTTAGCTTTGAAGAGTCCCTTGGACAATACACTCCAATATCCTTACCTCAATAGTTACAATTCCTGAACAGGTGCATGTAATATTTCAGGTGGACAACACAATACACTAGTCTCATACTGAATTAATGCACATTTATCATGTATACTCCTGCAGAGAGCAGTCACATGGTGTCCATGGTATGGAGACACACACCTGAGTAATCACAGACACTTTGCTATAGCAGGCTGGTAAGCAGTCACAGGCTATTCAGAGCGCACCTGTGTATATAAGAAGGCAGTAAGCATGAGGATCACTGACTCCTTGCACAATAGTCTTCCAGCTGCACGCTACACTCCACTCCTTGATCCTCATGCACACCTTCATGCATATGCTTCTTCAGTGATGAGTGACTTGCCACACTACATGCAACAGTAGTTTTGGTTATTCTCACTTAAGTATCCTTCTTGCCTCTGTTACAGGAGGTCTCACAAGTACTGTTGAGGGCTGTAAGTAGGGAACAGGCATCACGAGTAATAGACACATTAGCTCGGTTGTCAACCCTGTGCAAAGGTAAGACACAAGAAGCTTGTTGCAGAGTCCACATTTCCCAGCACTCCCAACCCTGGCTGATACAAAGTGGTATTATTCCCTTGCGCCCTGATCAGCCATGTCACCCCACCCCTTGTTCCATGTCCACTCAGGCACTTACTATGAAGACTCCACCAGACAGTCCAGTTGCCAAATTGGTATCCCAGATATAAAGATTCACCATTATGGGTGAGGTTTAACGAGGCTTGACATTCAAAGGACTCAACACAGGTTGTCAGCAATAGGAGGACATAGGGTAGCACTCACTTCATATCTGTAAAGCATAGTTATAGCTTATACAGTGCATATTGGAGCTCTTATTTTGGAGCCTCAGCCTGTTCTTAAAGAATAAAAATCAGTGGCTCCTGGATGCCAAGCTAAGATCTCAGCTGGTATCAATTCCCAATTTTTTCACAAAAAAATGTTTGTCAAGTAGCCATACCTTAATAGATCTCTACCCATCAAAGGAATCCATCACAGAAAAGAAGACAGAGTAAAGAGTATATTCTAAAAGAGCCTCAGTTACTATCAAAATATGAGATTTTACTAGAAATTACAACAAAGTCCTAGAAAGCATGTCAAAGCCAGTTACTGATTAGAGTGAGGATTAAAAACAGCATACTGAATATTTATAGGGAGAGGAACACTTTCTAGCAGGTGTGAACTAGCAAAGCTAGAATCACAACTAAACCATCAAGAAACTCTGGAAAGTTGAGGCTAACTCTTGGCTATGGCACAGACTCATTCTGCAAGCCCAGGCCTGGGCTGGCCTTGCTCAGAACAACCAGACTTCCAAAGACTTCCAGGTAGCATCAGATCAGGACTGCTATTTCTTTAGCCTCAGCTGCTCATCTGTAAATTGAGATTGAAAACCCTGTTTGCTAACCTTTCTCTGTCCATGTTCTTCAGATTGTAAACCCTCCTAACAGAGGCTGGTACTTTTAATGCACCTGTACAGTACATCATGCAGCAGGGCCTAATTTCACAGGGGTTCTGTAAACTTTATCCTAATACAAACTAATGATAATGAGTTTTGGTAGGGCAGCCTTTTTTTTCCTAAAACACTGATCAGATGTTATAATTGTATACACAGAAAAATTATAGACAACTCCAGAACAGTTTATATCCTCTCTGAAGTCAGGAAACAGAAAATCCTACACCTTTTCCTGAAGATTCACTTCTTCAAGTCGTTTTTATGAGCTTCCTACTGGTAAGTGCTCATCCTTCTCATGGCAGAAGCTCTGGGGTTGAGTGGAGGAAACTTTATCAGAATTGCTTTGCCAGTGGAATCTCCGGAGGAAGGAAGAGAGCATTTCATAGTTTACAATAGTCTTCCTTCACAGGGCCTGTCTGAGACCTCTTGTCTGCAGCAGATAAAAAACCCACACAAAAAAAAACAAAACACCAAAGCCTAAAAGCAATATGCCCGTAAAAACTCCAGCCTAAAAAAAGACTGCCTCTTTTTGTTGGCAGTATTCCCTTATGCATCACTGACATGGGCCCTTTTCGGTTTTTTCCCAGGGAATCCTGCCATCCACCGATTATACTTTTATCTCCTTTTAATGTAATGGAAGATGAATATAAAAACAAAATTTTCAGAAAAAAAGAAAGCCTGAAAAGCATTTTCAAAAGCTGAGAGGTTAAAAATCTCATTACTAAAAGTCAAAGACACTTAAAAACTTCAACCCTGTTGTTCAGGAAGACTGAAATTCCTGTGAGCTAAAGCTCATATTTGATCTTAAGTTACACAGGTATTTCAGGAAAGATACCTCTCATACAGTTGCTTAGGTTGAACTGCAGGTATTCAAGCTAGAAATGCCATCCAGCCTACCTCTTAGCTGGTTTCCATGTTCCCGATTTATTCTCTTCTCACTGTTATTTCACATTTGTTCTTTTTTTCTTCCTTTGCCAAGTGATTAGAGAATGTAAGAGCCTTGTTTCTTGTGCTGCACTGAGCTGGGTGCAGTTGTCCACTTTCCTCTCATGCTACATGAACGCATAGTTCCTTAAAATTAATCCAATTCCTCTCTGCCAGAAAAACAGAAGACTCCAAATCAAGTCAGATTTTCAGAAATGCTGAACACTTCTTGTTCCTATACACTCCAGACCTTCATTTCCACAAGTGAAAGCCCAGCTTTTTACAAGTGAATGGGAATACTCCAGATCACCTTTTTCCCCTTACAGAGGTGCCTAACAAGGATTATCTAACAGCAATTAATTTTCCAGTTAGAAGGTTTACCTTTTATATGCCGTAGTGGGCTATCAAGTAAGAAAAAGCTATATAAACACATTAGGATTAAGAAAAACAAAAACCAGTCAGGTCTGCTATTTAAAGAAGGACAGCACTTGACAGAGGACATGCCAAATGTAATTTCCTTCTATACAGAGAGAAGTTAACAGATACTCACTGCAACAGTGTTATGCATTGGGAAAAGAGAACAGGTCAGAGTATGGAAAGACTGGAGTGAAGACTATTTAGGTTAGTTACAGCCAATCAAGTTATTGTTTAAGGAGCCAACCAAACTATCTCCAAACTCTCAGTAACTACATTTAGAGAGCACAAGGAAAGGTATAAGAGGATTGACAAAAAGCAAATACTGCCTCTCTGTATCTAACAAAAGAAGATCAAGGTAATTAGAAGCCAGGCCTTCCACATGAGCACCTAGAAAAGATACTGGAGCCATACTGGAAAAATATTAAAGAAAACAACTGAAAAATCAGCAGAAGGCTACTAAGCTGTCAAGAACAGCTGACATTGATATGATTGATTTATTCTTGGCAGATCAATCTAGTTGTTACTCACTCAGCCTTGAAGTATAAAAGAAACAATAGTGTGCTATATATTTCACTATAATTAAGACTTTCAATACTATCCCATGAGACATGCTTATAAGGAAACAAGTGAACCAGCGCTTAGCTGAAATCACCATAAAATGAGCACGCAAGAGATGTAACCACTACACGAAGGGCAGTTTTTCAAAGATCACCATCAGCCTGAGAGGACCATACAAATGAGCCCTGCAAGGGCTTATCCTGAACTAACTTGAGGTAATTCAGGTTGGATGGCAAAATATCAACTAAAACACTTAGAAAATTTGCAAATGACACCAAGTTTTGGGGAAGTGTAAGGGTTCCAAAGGACCAATGAATTCAATATGTGTTAAATGATTTTTTGTCATTTTTAAAAATAGGAAAGGCTGTTCTTATATGTATTAACAGGAATGTTTTAATTTAAGACAAAATTTGCAATTATTCCATCCGATCTGCCATTGCCAAATCTCTTCTGATGTATTGTACCTAATCTTAAGTACCACAATTTTGGAAAGATATAGGCAGACAAAATACAATCAAATCCTAAGCAACACAGTTGATAGATTATACAGAACTAGATCAAATTTTTATTCTTTTTTTTGGA